GGTTGAGCTGTTGTTCAGCATCTTAGCTGTAGAGGGCAGTGTCACTGGCCCTCATATGTGGGATCCGAACCGGGGCCCTCTGGCATCCCAAGCCAGCTTTTAACCATCGCGCCACTCGGCCGGCCCTACTTTCCCATTTTTTAAAAGGCAAAAATCCATGGCAGGGTGGGGACATGGGAGTCATTCAACGGATATTGAGTTTCAGGTTTACAAGATGAAAAAGTTCTAGAGATCTGTCACACAGCAATGTAAATACAGTGAACACAGTGCTGAGCTGTACTAAACTGTACACTTAAAATCAGTTAAGATGGTAAATTTTTGTTATGTTTTTTTTCCCATAATTTAAAAATATGTTTAAAAAGAGTTGGGGGATGGAGCGGGGGAGGAAAAGCTGGGTGAATGATCCTTAGTCTCAAAATACCATTTCCCACTACAAGAAACAAAGACTGGATAAACTGTTGCTTCCAGGTCTGGGGCAGAAAATGCACAAGCTGAGTCTGGAATACCTATCACATTAGAGAATCAATTTGAAGATAGTCCCACTGACCAAGGATGGGTCGCTTATTGCTTCTGTAACAAATGACCACAAACTTAGTGGCTTAAAACAGTACAAATGTGTTCACTTACAGCTCTGGAGGTCAGAAGAGTGAAATCAGTGTCACTGGGCTACAGTAAGATGTTGGCAGAGTTGGTTCTTTCAGGGAACTCGAGGGACTGCCTTTTTCAGCTTCGAGAGCTTCAGTCCTTGCATTCTTCTATCTTCAAAGTTCAGCACTCCTCATCTCTGTTTCCATCGTCACATTGCTTCCTCTTCTGATCACCCGCCTCCGCTTATAAGGACCCTGTGGTTACACTGGGACCATCTAGATAATCCAGGATAATCTTCCCAACTCAAGATGCATCTTTAAAATCCCGTTGGCCATATGATGTGACATTTGCAGCTTCTAGACATGAACACCTTGGGGACCACTTCTGCTACCTGTAGACTACATGAACATTAACATAGTAACTGCAATGCATTGAAATACATCAAAGGTATTTAAATCCATGAGTCCAGGGCCAGCTGAGTGGCGCATTGGTTAAGAGCTGGCTTGGGTGCCCGAGGGCCCCAGTTCAGATCCCACATCTGAGGGCCAGTGACACTGCCCTCTACAGCTAAGATGCTGAACAACCGCTCGACTTGGAGCTGGGCTGCCGTGAGTCGACGGCGATGGCATAGGCTGCAGCCCCTGCTGCAGTGGGTTGCCATGGGCTACTGTGTGTAGCCAGCAGCCAGTGTGAGCGGGCAGCAGCTGCTGCGAGCAGCTGTCCAGAAGCCGGCGACTGATCTGCCTCACCCGGGAAGAGCGCAATGATGGTGCCAACTTGGGCCAGTGAAGCAACA